GATCTAGGATATAGTAATGGGTGATGGATGCAGGGATGGAGGATAAGAGTGTGTGAGTGAAGGTTAGACACCACAGGATGTATAGGGAGGACTATCTGGTTGATGGTGCAGAGGTTCTATACTAATCTGTAGGAAATCTGCTTTACAAACAGGAAGAATGGGAGTACTATAAGGGGAGTTGTTAGGGATTAAGAGACCATGTTTAGCAGGTAGGAGAAAATAGGTTTTAATTCCCTTAGGGCTGGATCAGGGATAGGGTATTGATGCTTTGCAGGATAGGGGTGATCTGGTTTTAGTGGGTTGGTGAGAGGAATTTGGTTGAGAGCCAAGGAAGGGGAAGATGTGTCCCATATTCTAGGGTTGAGATCTGAAGAGACAATGAGGGCCATAGAAAAGGTTTGGGAAGAGATGAGAGCAGCAAGAAAATCGAGTTGTGCACCAGAAATGGTTAGGGTGGCAGATAGTTTAGTTAGGATATCTCATCTGAGGAGGGGAATGGGACAGGTAGGAATGACCAGGAAAGAATGGGAGAAAGACTGTCAACCCAGTTGACACTAAATTTGAGGAGTTTCAAAAGGCCTGGAGACTGCCATCAATCACTGCAATAGTAGGTGGGGCAAAGAAACTGGTCCTCAGAAGGAAGGCAAGGTGGGGTGAGTGGCCCCAGTATCAATTAGAAATGGATTGGACTTATGCTTCACCACAAGAGTTACTCAGAGTTTGGCATCTGAAATGGTACAGGGAGCTTCTGGGGCCTCTGGGCAGGGTCAGTCTTTGGTTGGCAACCCAAGAAGGTCTGGGAAGGAGCCAGCTGGGGAACCCTGAGAGTGAACTCCAGGGATGGATGCCACCACTGGGCAATCCAAATTTCAATGAGGGCCCCCACATGAGGGGCATGGCTTTAAAGGAATCCAGGCTGGGGGCATTCCTTAGGCCAATGGCTGAGTTGGTGGCATTTGAAGCATGGCCCTGGAAGTATGACCTTGGGCATAGGGGCCTTGGAGGTACCTTTGGCTGTTGGCTGGGATTTTAATTCAGCTTGTGGGTTTCTTACAGTGGAGGCAAACAGCCAAACCTCAGAAATGCACTATTTAGGGCAACTTTTTCTTATTATTGAAGACCTTGAAGGCCATGTTTATTAACTCCTGCTGTGAGGTCTGAGGGCTAGCCTCCAGTTTCCACAGTTTTTTTTTTTCCAAATGTTGGGGGCAGACTGGGTTATGAAATACATCATTAAAAAAAGTTGGTCTTCTGGACCCTCTAGGTCCAGGGCCATATAACCCCTGAGGGTGGCAGCCAAATGGGCCATGAATTGGGCTGGATTTTCATTCTTTGTCTGGGTGGTTTCTTTAAGTCTATCATGATTAATTGCCTGGTGTGCCACCTTGTGGAGTCCCTCAACTAAGCAAATAACCATACAGTTATAGCTCTTCTGAGCCTGGGACTCTCCTCTTATCTAGCTGGTTAAAATCCCAGTTAGAGTTGACTTGGGGAATGGCCACAGCACCTTCCTGAAGGTTAGGATCAAGGTGTCTGCAGTCATCTGCAGAAGCCTAGGCCAGAGACCAAACTTGTTCTCACTCCTCAGGTGAGAGGGTTGAGGAGAGGGTAAGATTCAAATCATCCCAGGTAAGGTCATAAGACTGAGTGAAATACTGCAACTCCTGAATATATCTAGTAGGGCCTGCGACAAAGCCCAGATGCTGATTAATTTGAGAAAGATCAGACAGGGAGAAGGGAGCATGGACTTGAATTATCCCCTCTGCTCCTGCCACTTCTTGGAGTGGGAATTGGGAAGCAGGGGGTAGGGAAGGGGTACCGAACTGTAGTCTGGATCAGGTATGAGGCAGTGTTGGTTAAAGTAGAGCATAAGGAAGAGGTTTAGAATCAGGGAGTAGTGTTGGACTGGCAAGATGCTCTGAGGGAGAGGGGAAGGTGGCTGGGGAGGTGACTGTAGCAGCCTTGGTGAGAGGCTTGGCAGGAGGAGGAGAAGTAGCTGGAGGTGCAGGGAACTGCCAAGGAACAGCAAGGTCAGTTAGGTCTGTGGTCAGGGATGAGTTGGTATTAGAGGGGATGGGAGGAGGTGTGGATAGGAGAGAGAGGAGAAGGGTTTGAGAGAGGTCACATGAAGAGCACAGAGTAGGGAAATTTCAGAGCGTAAAAAATGCCTGGACATATGGCACCTCCGACCAATTTCCCCAGCTTATGACAGTAGTTGTCCAGATCTTGCAGAATAGAGAAATTGAAAGTACCATTCTCTGGCCACTGAGAGCCATTGTCCAATTTGTATTGTGGCCATAATGTGTTACAGAAAAATTCAGGCACTTGGTCTTTAGGTCAGGGGAGAGACGAAGAGGTTTAAGATTTTGTAGGTGGCAGGCTAGGGGGGAATCAGGAGGGATGGATGATGTAAGGTTTCCCACCGAGTACAGAGAGAGGTGAGAGAGCAGCTGCAAGGGTCTTTTCAGTGAACACCTCCAACCGGGACTCCAGGCCATAAAATGTGAGCGAATGGCCAAGGTGGATGTCTCTGCTGTTGCCCAGACACCAAAAGGAAGCAGTCTCCTAGGGAGTGCTCTTCGTTACCAGCTCTGGAGTTTAACGGCACAAAAAGCAGGGTGAGCCTCTCTCTGTCTCTGTGATTGCAAGATGAAAAGTAGACAAGGAGAAGGAGAGAGAGAGAGTTTGGGAGGCTTGCCCAAGCTGAAGTGCCTGATGAGATCTTGTGTGCCCGGAGCTGTAAGAACTGAGGTCCGAGGAGTAGATGTCACCGGGTGGTCTCAGTGGACCAGGAGGTTAGGATAGGGCTTGAAGCCCCTGAAGAGGGGTACCCTATCCTGAGTTTTGGCACCAGATGTGACAAACAGGACAAGAATGAGACCGTGTAAGCAGGCTTGTGAGAAGGCAACTTGGCTCAAGGTTTATTCTACCTGGGGGCAGGCAGCTCTGACCGAGAGCAACAAAGCAATCGGCCCCCGAACAAAGAAAGACAGGGAGTTTTATAGGATTTGAAAAGAGGGGCAGTCTCGTAGAGGGGTCAGGGAAAACATCTGTGGTCAGAGTTCTCAGAAGGGCTGATGCAGATGTAGAGAGGTTATCAGACACTCTGGCTCCAAGAGGGTCTTGTGCTGTTTTAGCTCTTCTTTAGGACATCCCATTCTATTTGTCCAGGGACAGCTCCTTGTCGTTTGTTGAGGGCAGCATGTTTGCTAGGATCAGCTGTTTGCTAAAACATAATGTTTACTGGGAAAGTCATGCCCAGCTTGAGCCTGACATTCACTGGCTTTAAGAACCAAGGTGCAGAGGGACCCTGAAGAGAACAGGGGACTCCATGTGCAGATCTGGGCCACAGGCATCTGTGAATCCAGTTCCTTGGCCCCTGCTCCCTGTATGTGATATAGTCCTTGAATTCACTTTTGAACTGCTTATTTCATCTTCCTAGCTCCCTCATGAATGAGTTAAGTATGATCTTTGGTGTGTTCTCATTTTGTATGATATGAAAGACTGACTTGTACTTTTTTTTTTTATGGTACCGGGGATCGAACTTGGGTCCTTGCACTTGTGCAGCAGGTGGAGAAACCAGTGAGCTAGATCCCCAGCCCTGACTTACACTTTTTGAAAATATCTTTTACCATTAGGTACACATAGTAAACACTTTTCTACATACTTTATGCATTCATTTTATAAACTCAGACAGGACAGATTTTTACATGCTGGGTCCTGTTTTAAGTACTTTATAAATGTTACCAAATTCACCTTTTATAAGAAGATTTTTCACTTAAACTTTTCAGCCCTATCTTGTGAAAGCAGAGAAGCTTAGAGTCTTGCTTGAGTTTGTGTCACCATTAAACGTCAGGTGTGAGGCTGAGGCAGGCAATCTTTCCAGCCTCAGGGCGCTCCCTGGTGTAGACTGATATCTGTGCTCCTCTCGGTCATGAGTTGAGGCCCCATGTGATGCTGTGTTTAAGAGCTGGGCATGAGAGTGACTGGGGTTAGGTGAGGCAATGAGGGTGCAGTCCCAACGATGGCATTAGCTTCCTTCTAAGAATGTCTCCACCACTTGAGGACACTGCTAGGTGCCCCCTCTGCAAACCAGGGTGAAGGCCCTTGGCGGGGGCTACTGGCTGACATCGTGTCCCAGGACTGGTGATTGAAGCCAGGATCTTTGCACTGAACTATGTACCCCAGCTCCTTATTTTTTACTTCGAGTCAGGGTCTTACTAAGTTGCTGAGTTGCTCACGTTGGGCTTGAACTTGTGATCCTCCTGCCTTAGCGTCCCAGAGTGCTAGCATTATTGGCACAGTTACCATGTCCAACTGGGAACTGCATCTCTAAAGAACAAAAACATTGTGGTGGAGAGATGAGGGGTTGTGACTACTGGCATCTGCAGAAGGAGCCCCAGCTGTGAGGGCTGTGGCCCCAAGGTGGGCTGAGGTCTGGCTGTGTGTGTGCTGGTTCCCCACTGGAGGTCTAACTAGGAACAAGGTCTCTTCTGTCCTGGAGTCCCTTCTTCGTCCTAAGAACATGTAGCCTAGGTTTTTTTTTAATGTACAGTTACTATATTGGGGGGAGGGAGATGGAAGTGTGGGGGTAGCATGGGGCAAGGCAGAGGATAAAGTTGGAATCTGCTAGACCTGGGTTCAAATCCTGACTCTGCCATTTAGTGGGTGAATAAAGTTAGAATAGGTTTTAATTAGCATTGAAAAATCTCCTTCCCAGTTCTCCACGGGAAATGGGAAAGGTCTTAGCAAATCATGAAGTGGGAGTTGGGGACATAGGGATACAGGGGTCTGCAGCCTTGAAGGGTGGGCAGGGAAGACAGCCTAACCAAGGCCTGATCCTGCCTGCACTGCAGTGGCCATGAGAGGCAGCGTGTGCCAGGTCAGGAGCCAGTCGGACCCAGATGGGGTGTGTGACTGGCAGCCACAGACTTGCCAGCTTTCTTGGTTTCTGTTTGGGTACAAAGGTTACTTGGCAGCTTGAATTGGCCCTTATTTGTTCCCGTATAAGGAAGGGAGGTCAAGCTCACAAAGCCCTAAGCGCTTCCGATCTTCTACTCACTTCCTACAGAGAGTTCTGTGAGCCAGGATCTCTGTGGGAGCCATGGCCGGGAATGTGATTCTGCTGGCTGCCATCTCTGTCCTCTCTGCTTGTCAGCAAAGTAAGAGCCATGGGCACGTGTGTGTGTGTGTGTGTGTGTGTGTGTGTGTGTGTGTGTGAGAGAGAGAGAGAGAGAGAGAGAGAGAGAGAGAGAGAGAGGCAGGCCCAGGAGAGAGATCTGTTCTTTGTTTGAGTTTCTCATTGCCTCGGCCAGGGTCCCGGCCAGGGTCACCTGATGGCTTTCTCCCCTGGGACAGGCAGAGGTTAGGCTCATTCCAGAGATTAGTTCTCTCAGCAGGGACATCTGTCGTGGGCCCTCAGAGTGCAGTGACTTGGTGTCATCCACCGTGATGACCCACAGCCGATTTGTATGAGCAGTGTCCCGGGGGGAAGTTGCTTGCTCTGGGGGAAAGAGGCATAGACATTAAACACCAGTGTTCCAAGTAATGCTGTTCCCGCTTCTAAGCCCAAGCTAGGATTCTTGGAACCTGATCTTTTAATTAATGTGTTTTCTTAAATAAACTGCCTATGGCAGGTCTGATCAAGTTAAAACAACTCTCTAGCAGAAACAGGAGCTTTAGACCAAGTAATTAATTCTAAATATTAAAACTGCCTTCCCACTAGGATTGCTCAGTATCTCAACTGCCTAGTTAAACAGAGGGCTTTTTCTCCACATTTGCTCAATTCAGGGCATTTCACCTACTGAGCTGGGAGGGAAGGGGCGGAGCAGGGCTCCTTGTCCAGGATTCGCACTTTTTTTTTTCCCCCCCGCACTTTTGTTTTTTGCCAAGTGTGCCTGAGCCAGGAAGCAGGCGCAGCTGTGGACTGCTCAGGTCACAAACCGCCAGGAGTGTGGCGGTCAGAGTTCAGGCCTCCACACACACAGTGCCTTGTCTTGCTCGTCTGTTTTGTGAACATGTGAAAACCTCAGGCACATGTCTTGTGGTTTCACTCATTATCGTCTATGTAGTACAGTGTGTGTTTGTTACCAAGTAAAGAAGAACTTGGGGCTAAAGCAATGCATCCCAACCATTTGTGCTCTGGATGCACTGGGAGTTGCCTGGGCCAACAGAGGCTCCAGCCCCTCCCAGGGGCTCCTGCTCGCTGGGTGGTGCAGGGGAAAGGTGTGCATGGGGCCAGGGGCTTGATGGTGAGGAGGATGCGGGAATGGGAGAGAGGAGAGGAGACTGAGTGGAGAGGACTCATGGTAGACAGGGAATATTGAACAATGGGGAGGTTGCGATTGTTATGGCACTGAGAATCAGAATTTGGCACTTTTTCTGGAGTCAAGATGCCATGTGTCATGGTAGAGATGGCTCAGGTTTTGAAGACTTCCATCTGCTTTGAGCGCCAGGCATTTGTCCATAGGACGTGGGGTAAGCAGTGCCCACCAGGGAGAGGCGGTGCGCTGCCTCAGGAAGGAACCCAGCTGTGGCCTGGTGGGCAGGCTGGCGTGCATCGCTGGGGGAATGAGCATCACCAGCAGCCAGGTGACTCTCTGAAGAAAGCTGAGGAAGAGGAAGGACAGGAAAAGCAAAAGACCATGATTCTTAAGTGGTTAGAAGGGAAATGAAATTGAAATTTTCCAGAAAAAAAGGTGTAATAGCTTTGCGACCCTCAGTGCCGGAAGCTGAGTGGACTCTTCCCCACTCCAGGGCCGGGGCGGGGGGGGGGGGCTGCGGTCCTTCCTGCTGGGGCATGCTGGGGAGACTGGTGCAGTCCACTCCTTCCTCGCACTTGCTGCTGTGGCAGACAGATGCTCACCAGGTGCAATTCCCAGCCTGGAGAGAGACAGCACTTTCAGAGCTTTCACCTCACAGCTTGGTTCTGAAGGCCTAGGCAGCTCCTGCTCCACTGCTAATGGATCTATCTAGGCACATGCGGCTATTTCTGTCCTGTAGAGGAAAGGAGAGGCCTGGCCAGTGTCTTCTCCCAGGTGACGAAGCAGGTTGGAAGAAACAGGGACAGCAGGTTGCAGGGGCCAAGGTCCTAGGTCCTCTAGTGGTTCCCGATCTTGGTTCCAGCTGGGCCCCGGACATTGGCCTTGGCCCTGAAGGGATGTACTTTGGTGGGAAGCAGCCTAGCCCATCCCACATTGCCCTGTCTGCCAGAGACTCCTGCAGTAAGTCTCTAGTCCCCACCTGCCTAGTGTGCAACGCAGGCCTAAGAAAAAATTACACTAAGAGACAGAACTAAGAGAGAGAAAGCAGGGTGCCAACAAAGAAGCTGGCCAGTCCCAGGCGCTGGCCAGTCCCAGGCACTGACTTCTATTAGCAATTAGTTGGGGTAAAGGCAACCTACAGTTTCTATGGAAATTAATGTAAACAAGGCTCAGAAAGGACAAGACAAAGCATTCTCGAATTAGGAACAGAATAGACAAAATATATGGTTGTAATTAGAACACTGTCCTTCTAGTCTGAAGGTTTTAGTTGTGGGAACAGAATTTGCATGCGAGTTACTCTGACTTTGGCACATAGGCCGAACTCACTTCTCAGAACAAGCCAGTTGTGGGATTAACTCTTTACAGCCCTCTTTGGGCATAATCAATATTATGTCCTCTGCTCCTGTCCTCCTGGTGCTCTCTCGTGGAGCGGTTAGAAGGAGAGGACCCTATCCGAGGCAGTGATACACTTTGGTGTTCAGCCAGAGCGCTGCACCTAAATAGCAGCGTCTTTGTAGCAGAAGGGGATTACAGGGAAGGGAAGGAGGGTGCTGCTGGAGCTCTTATCAGACCAGGGCAGTGCTGACTCACCGGCGAGGGCAGAGAGCTTTGTATCACAGGAGGAAGCATGTTGCCCCTGGGACTCCAACACGAGGTGATACTGGAGCTGCAGACTGGTGGGAATTTTTCTTCTTTTCATGGAGTGCTCTGGGCAGAACCTAAGGCCTCGAGCATGCTAGGCAAGTGCTGTATCACTGGGCTACATCCACAGCCCTTGGTGGATTTTAAGAGGAAATTCTTTTTTTTTGAGATGAGGTTTCCTTAAGTTGCCCAGGCTGGGCTTGAACTTGCAATCCTCCTGCCTTAGCCTCTCAGAGTGCTGGGAGGAAACTGTTTTCAAAACATTAGCAAGTAGCAAATGGATACTGAGAGGCTAAAATGAGACGGAAAATAATGTTGGAGTGAATTGGTAAGAATCAGAAGCTGGGAGAAATAATCTGAAGGGAAATGATAGACTCCAAGAGTTAATTGTGGCATGACAACGGGGTAAAGACAGGAAGTGAGGATGGTGGAAGATTCGGAAACCACCAAAGGAGGAAGTGTGGATTGGAGAGTGAAGGAAGTCCTTGGACTTATGAGGTGTAGATGACCCCCCAGGCATTGGAGGTTGATAATCTAACATAACTTCCATGTAACAACCAGAGGAGAAGAAAGCCATACCATGCAATAACGGGGAAACTGAGTCGGGTGGGGAGCCATTGTCTCCAAAGGTTTTCCTGGTTCCCTCTCTCCTGGCGCCTCCTTCTCATCTCCAGGTAACCACTGATCTGCTTTATTCAGCTGCATTTTTTTTTTTTTTTTGTACCAGGGATTGAACTTGGGTCCTTGCGCTTACAGGGCAGGTGGTGGATATGAAGAATTATAATTCAGTTCAAC